ACTGTCATGCACAGAGCAGGGCTCATTAGGGGGGTTGGGGAGCTCTCCCCTGTCATGCACAGAGCAGGGCCCATCAGGGGGCTGAGAAGCTCCCCCCTGTCTCACACAGAGCAGGGCAGATAAGGGGGTTGGGATACCGCCCTCTATCACCCACAGAGCAGGGCCAATCAGGGGGTTGGGGCACCGCTGCTGTCACACTCAGGGCTGGGCCAGTGGGAAAGTTATGGCTCTACCCCATCACACACGGAGCAGGGCCCGTGGGGGGGGGGTGGTTGAGGCGCTGCACCCTGTCACACACAGAGCAGGGCCGATCAGGGGTTTGAGGTGCCGCACCCTGTCACACTGATCCCGGTGCTGGGAGGCCTCTCAGCTCCGCTGATCCCGGTGCTGGGAGGCCTCGCGGCTCCTCTGATCCATGTACTGGGAGGCATACTACCCTTTTACTATATAGGATAGAGGCCTGGTGCATGGGTGGGGCTGGCTGGTTTGCCCTTAACGGTGTCCTGGATCAGGGGGGGGGGGCGCTATCACTGGAGCTAAGAGCTGGCTTTAGCTCTGAGGCCCAGCTGCAGCTCTGAAACCTCGGCTGCTGAAAGCAGGTTTCTGGCCTTTGTTTACTGTCTGTAGTTGATACAATGTTGCGGTCCAGCTGGCTGAAGCTCCCCTGAGTAAAGCAGGTTTCTGGGTTTTTTTTAGCTTCTTTATTCGGCCGGAAAGGCAGGCGGGGAACATTGGAGTTCTCCGTCACTGAAGCAAGCAAGCCTCATGTTAAGCTTCCAGCGCCTGGTTGCCGTCCGCCATCTTGGCTGGCAGTTAATTTGCATATCACCCTGATTAGCCAATGGGAAGGGTAGCGGTCATATGCTAATTACCATGTTTCTCTTTTATTAGATAGGATAAGTTTAGTTAGCATAAGTAGACTCCATTTTTGTATTAGCAAGTTAGCATAAGTAGACCCCATTTTATTCTTATACCAAAACCTGTAAACAACTCCAAAAATAAGGTGTGTGTGTGTGATTGATAAGCTTTGGACATGCACACAAGTTTCTCACACAACTTTCTCACCTGAGTGTATACCTAGATCACAGGGCGGCACCCATGTATGGCACCCATAGGAGACACTGAAGATGCCCAGCTTCAAGCATTTAAGGAGAGCAAATCTGCTGCAGTTCAGACGCCTGTCTTCTCCTCTACAGCCAGACGTTCTCCTTCCCCCTGGAAACTGCCAAACTGCCAAACTGCCAAACTGCCATACTGCCATCCCTGCTCTGCCTTTGCGCCCAGACTGTTAAGAGGCCTCTCTTTGAGTCAAGAGACCGAGCTCCTTGCCGCGGCGTATTGGACGACCTCCGTGTGTCTCTGTCAGCGAGTGTCTCCAGGTGGCCTGCCAAGGACTGAAACCCATCAGCTCTCTGGTAGTTAAACCTGTGTGATTTCTTGCATTGTTTGTTCCCTGTGTCTTCTCTCTTCTTAGTTTTTGGTTAAGCTCGGCCATAATAGTTAATAGTAATTTCCCCTTGACGTCTGTGTGGTATATCCAAATGAGGCACTTTGGGACACCTGTGTGTAAGTTCCCAAGAATTGAAACAAATGATCTATCCCAGTCAGCTGATTACTTTAACTCATATTTCATTGAAAAGTATAAACAGAAAACAAAACTGAATTATTTGATCTTCCTTCCACCAACCTACCAACCTAAATGCTATCTGTACCTGTCTAACCTAACCTAACCACCCTAACCCATACCTATGTAATATTTATTTCCTACTTTAATAGAAGAACTATCCCTGTTTCTATCTAAAGCCATCTCCTCCATCTACTTCTCTGACTTTCTCAAGCACTTTGGTCCTACTTTCTTGCTCCTTCCCCTCTCTGCATCATCAATTTATTCACTGACTTTTTTCTCACTTGCACTTAAATAAGCCATAGTATTTCCTATATCCCCCCACTCCATTTCTCTGGTTTTCATCACAAGACAATTTAAGACAGAAGTCATTGCCATCATCCCTCTGCTTTCTCCCCTCACCACAATTCCACAAAGCTCTCCCTGCCGCCATACTGCTGACATCACTCTTGTCAAGGTAACAATGACCTGCAGGTGGCTATATGCAGTGGTCACTTCTCTAGCCTCACCCTAATCTTTGATTGAGATTTTACCTTTCTTTTTTAGAACTACTATCTTCTTTCAATCTCTACAAGTTGGAGTGTCGCAGAACTCAGTATAGTGCTCCTTTCTCTTTCCTATTTCGCTTAATGATCCATGGCTTTTGCAGGAACCACTCCAGAGTCCCCAGATAATCAAGGCTAATTAGAGTGTGGAGGTCTTGTTGATAGTATGCTGGATGACCAAGGCCACTCTGAACACTGGAATCTTAATCAAATGTTCAAAGCTAAGATACCATAAGCAGCTGCAAGGCCACAGTGATCTCACGGTATGCCGTGCAATTCTATAACCCAAATAATTGATGTCACTGTTGGCAGCTAGCCTCTTTTGTGTAAGTAACATTAAAAACATATTTAAAATGCTAGAGAGCTCAGATGGATCTGAGAGCTGGTACTGCTATGATGTAAATCTAAGAACTCATAGAGAGCTCAGATATAGCTGCCATGTTAACCAGCTAGTGTGCTGGAATATCTAAAGAAGTGTGCTGGAGTGTGCTACACAGAGGTATAAGGCTACAGATACCAGCCAATGTGCTGGGCAGAGGAGTGTGCTGGAGAGAGGGGAGAGGCCAGGAAGGCTGGGAGAAACTGCTAAGGCAGAGCTCTCAGATACCGTTATGATGTGAGGCAGTCTAGAGGCAGCCTGTGGCTGCTCAGAAGTTGCTGTAGGCTCAGAGGCTAATACTGCTGATGTGTGGGAAGATGTATCTGTTTATTAGCAGGTGTGTGGCTACTTGTAAAAGACTTTGCTCTAAAGAACTGTTTTGTCTAATGGCTTATGGCCACTGACTCCTGCAGTAAAGACTCATTCTTATATACCAACAACTTCTCATGTCTTCTCCGTCTAAGACCCCGTGTCCCAGGAGGTCAAGCCCCAGGCAGAGGGGCTGAGACCCAACAGTTAATACAGTAGGGAGGGTAAGAGAAGGAACCTGCCCTACACTTGGCATAGTCGAACGAGAGAATTTGTGTGGACTCAATGCAACTCCGAGCAGCAAGGTTGAGCAGTGCTCTTTCTGTCTCTGATAGCTTTACATAAGGCCCCAAACTTGACACCCCAAGTAGCCTTGGTCCTGAACCTTGCTTTGATCCACATATCTAATTCTCAGTGTAACTCTCCACTGGAAAGTCTACTGGGCACCTTAAACAACACTCAATCACAGAATCCTTCCCACCTGAGCAGTAATTCCCCAGTATCCCCTATAGGCACCATTCATCTGCTGTTCAAGCCAAAATCGAAAACGCTCATTCTCTTAACTGCTAAATGCAATCCATTTGCAAGTCCTACAATATTCACACCTAAAATGTATCCCAATTCCACTCTCTCCTCTCCATTTTCCTACTTTAAACTCCAACATATCAAACCTAAACTTTTATAGTAGCTTTTTATGTCTTCGTAGTATACTCTCACTTCTTTATAATCAACTAGAGGCCCGGTGCACAAAAATTTTTGCATTCGGGGGGGAAGAGGGTCCCCCAGCATGGCCTGTGCCCTCTTGCAGTGTGGGACCCCTCGGGAGATAACGACCTGCTGGCTTAGGCCTGCTCGCGGGTGGCAGAGGGAAGGCCTAATCCCTAGGTGCAGCCCCTGGTCGGGCTCAGAGCAGGGCTGATGGGGGAGTTGGGGCGCCGCCTCCTGACATGCACAGAGGATGGCAGATTGGGAGGTTGCGATGCCACCCTCAGTACCGCTCAAGGTAGGGCTAATTGGGGGGTTGGGGCACCACCCCCTGTCACACTCAAGGCAGGGTCGATGGGGAGATTGCGGCACCACCCACTGTAACGCACAGAGCAGGGCCATTCCGGGGTTTGGGGCCCTGTCCCCTGTCACGCACAGAGCAGGGTTGATGAGGGGGTTGGGGCGCCACCGCTCTCATACTCAGGGCAAGGCTGATGGGGAGATTATGGCTCTATCCCATCACACACAGAGCAGGGCCCGTGGGGTGGGGGAGGAGGCACTGCCCTCTATCACCCACAGAGCAGGGCCGATCAGGGGGTGGGGGCACCGCCACTCTCACACTCAGGGCAGGGCCGATGGGGAGATTATGGCTCTACCATGTCACACACACAGCAGGGCCAATCAGGGGGTTGGGGCGCCGCACCCTGTCACACACAGAGCCGCAGGG